GCTGGTAGGAAGTTTTAAAACAACCAGGAAGTGACACAGCAGCTGACAGGAAGTTATAAAACAACCAGGAAGTGACACAGCAGCTGACAGGAAGTTATAAAACAACCAGGAAGTGACAGAGCAGCTGACAGGAAGTTTTAAAACAAACAGGAAGTGTGGAGGAACATACAAATATATGGGTGCTGTAGACAAAGTGTTGCAGTCTCTTCTTGGTGATCAGCAGCATCTTATCAAACAGGAAGAACGCTCTGTCCTTCTTCACTCTGTGAACCTTAAAGGAACCCTCCAGAACCAGCTCTCCAAACCCACTCAGGTTTGGTCCACTCCAGTTCATCAGCAGGGACTCAATCTCCTGCAGGGAGGTGTGGATAGATAAGAGATCAAACAAACGAGTCGACAGTCAGCAAAGAAACCTTTGTTCCTTTAAACCTCATCAGGAGAAAGAAACAGTTCAGAATCTGTCCCATTTTATCAGAATATTATTGAAAATATAAATATTAAAATCCCTGAACCCTGACCTGAACCCTGACCTGAACCCTGAACCCTGTCCTCTGACCTCTGACCTGAACCCTGACCTCTGACCTGACCTCTGACCTGAACCCTGACCTCTGACCTGAACCCTGACCTCTGACCTGAACTCTGACCTCTGACCTGAACTCTGACCTCTGACCTGAACCCTGAACCCTGACCTGAACCCTGACCTCTGACCTGAACTCTGACCTCTGACCTGAACCCTGAACCCTGACCTGAACCCTGACCTCTGACCTGAACCCTGACCTCTGACCTGAACCCTGACCTCTGACCTGACCTCTGACCTGAACCCTGACCTCTGACCTGAACCCTGACCTCTGACCTGAACCCTGACCTCTGCCCTGACCTCTGACCTGAACCCTGACCTCTGACCTGAACCCTGACCTCTGACCTGACCGCTGACCTCTGACATGGTCGTTAGAAGGCAGCTGTTTTAACAGATGTGATGTCAGAGGACTGATCCCAGATAAAAGAAATAAATCCTGTTTTCTCTCTGATCAAACTGCAGAAACAGGAAGTGTCTGTGACACTGAGAGACTACAGGTCAGATCTCAGCTGCAGCTTGTCAGCTGTGTGAAAACAAACCTCTGAGTTATTCTTCTGTTTTCTGTCTGAATGACAGAGTCAGGTTTTACCTTTAGACCAGATGTTCCAGGTACACATGGCTGTTTACCTGCAGCCTCACAGCGTGCTCCTGTTTCCTCTTCATGTCATTGATGTACCAAGCTACTGCTGTCATGGTGATGATGGCGTCCTCCACCACTTCATAGCCAGGCTCACTCTTCTCTAAGTGCTTGGAAAGTTCCTGACCAAACGAACAAGTTTAAACCGTCAGGATGTGATGAGACCAGGTGCTTGTGCTGGTGATGACTGTCAGATAAATGCTCATTCACCATCATGCTTCCTGGTTTTTTTCAGAAAACCTTTAAAGTTGGAGTTTGTTTTTCAGCTTGTTAGTAAAACTGTTTCTGGTCTGGCTTTTTGTTTCCATAAACTCAGAACTTTCAAGGGGTCAGATGCTTTTTGACAGACCAGCTAAGACCAGGACCAGCAGGAGCCTGTTTACCTGTGAAGTCACCCATACCTGAGCTTTATTACTGGTTTGAAATCCAAAAATCAAGTTTTTTTAAGTGTAAAACCTGAATTAAGTGTGTTATAGCAGCAGATAAGATGGCCACYTCTGCCAGCGCCACCCTGAGTAAAGCTGTCAAACATGGAGCTCCCTCAGGGGCTGAAGTCCAGGGGTCAGATTTATAAAAGATTGCACAGAAACCATTAAAAAGTGAACGTACGGCCAAAAGGCGAAAATGGTGTACGCCAAAAAAACTTCAGATTTATAAAATCGTGCGTACGTATGTTTCTGAACATCCTCCATTTATAGATCACAGCTGCACCTCAGAGCTTGAACACAACGTCCCTCCTCAGTACATGCTACAGTAGGAGGAAGTATGTCAGGTACTTCCTGTAGTTTTCCTATAGTAGGAGGAAGTATGTGAGGTACTTCCTGTAGTTTTCCTAT